AGGTACTTTGTGTAAGAAGATCCAGACGGTGTTTGTGTCTTCGTGTCTGGCTTAGTTCACCTGGCACAGCGTCCTCAGGGTTAAAGCACATGAGTCAGAATTTCCTTCCTTTTTCACATTTCTTCTTTTTCAGTGCTGGGAATCGAGCCTAGAGCCTCAGCATGCCAGCAAGTGCTCTAGCACTGAGCTACACCCTCAGCTTCTCATCCCTTCTAAAGCTGAGTAATGAGTCACCCACATTTTGCCATCCACGGATCCTCTGATGGACATCTGGGTTGTTCCACCCTGGGCTGTCGTGACTACATGAACCTGGATGCACAGTGTCTGTTCAAGTCCTGGCTGTCGGCTTTTGGGGCATAACCCCCAGAGTGGAATGGCTGGATTGTTGGTAGTTCTGTTTGAATTTCTTAGGACCTGCCACACTTTTCCACAGTGGCTGTACCATTTTACATTCCCACCAGCAGTGCACAGGGAGAAGAACCATGTGTGCTTCCAAGCCTACACCTGCTAAAACCTGAATTTAGCCTAGTGTGTGCTTCAGTCACTCCACCAGCCCTTTTTCGTGATGGGTATTTTTGAGATAGGATCTTGTGAACTGTTTGCCTGGGCTGGCTTTGAACCACTATCCTCCTGGTCTCTGCCTCCTGAGTAGCTAGAATTATAGGCGTGAACCACCGGTGCTGCTAGTTCCTTGTTTTCAAAAGGGTTTCCAGTCCATCCTCTCCTCCCATCTCCGCTTATGTTAGTGGAAATACTACGTATCTGACCAAAACCAGGTTCTGAGTTTTATTCCTTAATTTCTTTATTAACTTAACGAATGAGGCAGGAGTCGCCTGCTCTCGGTCCTCCACTTTGAGCTGCACCCTCAGTTTCCATGCCAGCCCTTCCTGCCATTCAGTGACTTCTGTTTGGAGGTCATGTGAAGGCAGATCACCGGCAGGGCTGCTCTTTTCTGCCCTTGAAGGACAGCTCTGTTCTTCCCAGTGACAGCAGGTAAATGGTTTTCCCTGGAACGCTCTGTGCCCCTCCTGCTCTGTGTCTGGGTAAGGAAGGGTGGGCTGGGCCTTCTGCATGCAGCAGAAGTGGGGCACTGGGACTGGACTCTGCTTTGAAGTGTGTGTGTAATGCAGTGATGGAAGACAGCCCCACGTTTAAAGACTCTCATTTCAAAGACAAGCTCTCATGGTTCAAGCCTAGCTCGGTTCTGTTATTTCTTTCTTTTATATTTAGATCTTGGTTCCATTTAGGATCTGTCCTAATATAGATGAGACTTGAGCTTTCCTGCCTGGTGTACCGTGCTTGCTTGGTTTACTTATGTGTACCGAGGATGGAGCCTAGGCCTCATGCATGCAAAGCACATGCCTCACCACTGAGCTATCCTCAGCCTCCAGGCCTTTCGACCCCCCAGGGGCTTGAACTCAGGATCTACACCTGAGTCACTCCATCAGTCCTCTGTTGTGATGGGGTTTTTCAAGATAGGGTATAGTGAACTATTTCCCTGGACAGGCTTCAAACCAGGATCATACTGATTTCTGCCTCCTGAGTAACTGGGATTGCAGGCATGAGCCACCAGCTCCCAGCTGCTCAGGCTTTTAATTGAATGTTCTAACAATTCAAGTGCTTATTGAGTCTATTTCTGGAGTTTTCTTTTCTGTCAGATTGTCTGTTAAGGTTTTAATAATTGAGATTTCATATTTTTTTCCTTTGTGGTGCTGGGGATGGAACCCAGGGTCCGCTGTATGCTAGGCAGGTGCTCTTCCTCCAAGCTGCACCCCCAGCGAGAGATTTCATAGTGTTTAACAGCTGACAGTTCCTTTTCTCCCTATCCCCTGGTTTCCTTCTTTCCCTCCCTCCCTCCTTTGTGGTGCTGGGGGTGGAACCCAGGGCCTCATGCATTCTAAGCCCATGCTACCTCCAGCTCCTGTGGATTATATCTTTAAGAATTTGGGCTGGATGCCAGTGACTCCTAGCTACTTGGGAGGCTGAGATAGAAAGGATCAAGGTTTGAGGCCAGCTGTAGGCAAACAGTTTGCAAGATAACATCTCCAAAATAACCAGAGTAAAATGGACTGGAGGAGTGTCACAAGTGGTAAAGTGCCTGCTTTGCAAGTGTGAAGCCCTGAGTTCAGCCCCCCAGTCCCACCAAAAAAAAAAAAAAAAAAAAATATTTGTTCTAGGCTGGCGATGCACGCTTGTGACTGCAGCATATGCCCCAGGTCACTTTGGTCCTTTCCTCTTTGCAAGTCGCCTGACTGCCTTCCCGCTTGTCTCCATTTCCCTGGGTGAGCTTCCCTCGTCCCCAAGTCCTTCTGCTCACATTTCATCCCTCCCTGGAGGCACTTCCTTTATCTCCCTGTTTTTGTGAGTGGAAAATGGTCACCTTGTCAGTCCTAGCAAGTCCCCTGATGGGTGTGGCTGAGGCAGAGGCTCTCTTCTCTGCTCACGCGGCCCAGCTGTGTGACTCTGGTTGTAGTTCCACCTCTTTGCTTCTCTGAACCACATGGCAGCCCTGCTCATCCCCGTTCCTGAGTGCACTGTGGCACGGGAGGTGAGTCCCCAACCTGCAGCGGTGCGTCCTGCCTAAGCTTTCTGAGATCGGCCCTCTGCCTCCCACCCTGCTCCCTTCCATGCCCCTTCTCCCAGTGCCTGCTATTTCTGGAAGCCCTGTTGTGTTTTTGTGTCTAAGATTGTATCTTCTAGCGGCCCTGGAAATGAAGGTCAAGTTTTTACTTTTCTCCCTGTTGCTTCTGAGCGCAGACCAAACTTGCCAGTTCTGATTTTAAAGTAGTGAAAAACCTCATTAGCTAATGTCACTCATTTGAAGGGAACAGTGACTAAAAGCCATCACCCCAAATGTTCTCGGTCATGTGAGTTTGCTGAAAATGATCTGGGGCCTTGTCCCGTCATCCCTTGTGGCAGAGACATGAGAGTGGAACTCTGTGCTCAGAATTTGGTGGGAAGTTGGAAACACAGAAGTCCTGGCCTGTGCTGGTGCCCGTGTCTTGCCCTGGAGCTCCAGGGAGTGGCACGGAGGGCAGTCGTTATGATCCTGTGGATTACCAGCAGCTGTATTTTTACTCATTTGTTTTGGTGCTGGGGCTTGAGCCAAGTAGGGTCTTACATTTGTTAACCACACACCCTGCCACTGAGCTGAGCCCCAGCCGCTAAACATGGTCTTACATTGACGAAAGTGAGTCATATAATTTGCACATATAAGCTAACGGTCACTGAATTGAACATCTAACATTAAATCAACCATTTATTAGCCTTATTAATGGAAATGTCACCAAGACTTTGTGAAATTATTTTACTAATTGTCTTCCCTTCTTTTTCTGGAGGTATGATGTTGGGTCTTAGGAATAATTGGGCTATTTATATCAATAAAATTATCAGTTTGTTTCTTTATACAGAATTATAAAAATTAGAGATATTTTATAGAAATAGGACATAAGGAAATTATAGTTAAAAAGAAAATAATGAGAGAAAAACTTGAAATGGAAATTTACCAAGTGCATGCTGTATTATAAAACATCCAGTGTTCTTGTTTTGAGCTTCCAGGCAGGCAAGGCAAAGCGGTAGCTCCCACTGCAGTCAGCAGTGAATGCAAATCCATTGCTCAAAAGAATGAGTTCTTTGGGTATTGAGGTAAGAAGGAAATGCCCCCTTTCAGTCTCATCAAGGGACGTTTTGTGTCATAAACAATATAGCCAACGACTTCCTGGTGACATCGGTGTTCCTGACAGCCATTGACTTGTAATGGCATGTACTTCTTTGGGTGTGCCTCAGTGTCAGCGAAACCCACACCGCTTAAACCCACACCGCTTCCGTGGGGGTGGGACCAGTGTGGCACAGGTGCATAGCCGTTTCCTGTCGAGCTTTGTCCCGGGGCAGATTTGCGCCTCGTGTCTCAGGATGGAGCTGAATTTTTCCAGCGAGCCTTCCTAACGATCTCTTCTCCAGCATCCTCTGCGTCTTGGGGAGCGGAGGACTTACGTTCCAGAGAATGGAAACTCTGTACCACCAAGCAGACAAATTCAGGGCTCCTTGAGCTGCACACTCGTTCCAGCCGTGTCTGCATAGACTAGGGCTCTGTCATCCTGTCTGCGTCTTGTTTAAATGTTAAATGCGTACAGAATCAGATGCAGTTAAATGCAAGGGATTATTGCATAAGCTTCTCTTGAAAGGAGACTGAGCTATAAGGACATTTCTGTGATGCCAATTTAAAAAGCCTCGTTCACCCATTTGTCAAATTTAATTGAAAACTTACTAAGCACCAGACACCATGGTGAGGGTCCCTGGGTACTTTGTCACTGTCTTTTAATTAGGGTTTTCAAATTCCTGCCTGATCTCATTTCCCAGTGCAGAATAGACAGAGATGTGGAACCCAAGTAGGGTGACTGACACAAAGACACCATGGTGAGGATCCCTGGGTACTTTGTCACTGTCTTTTAATTAGGGTTTTCAAATTCCTGCCTGATCTCATTTCCCAGTGCAGAATAGACAGAGATGTGGAACCCAAGTAGGGTGACTGACACAAAGACACCATGGTGAGGATCCCTGGGTACTTTGTCACTGTCTTTTAATTAGGGTTTTCAAATTCCTGCCTGATCTCATTTCCCAGTGCAGAATAGACAGAGATGTGGAACCCAAATAGGGTGAGTGACACAAAGACACGTGGCCTAGCACTAAACAGAAACAGACCTGAGTTTATTTTTTAGGTGGTACTGGAGTTTGAACTCAGAGCCCTGTGCTTGTTAGGCAGATGCTCTGCCACCTGAGCCACACCCCAGCTCTGGGTTTCTTTTTTTCTTTTTTTAACTTTTTACTTTTTCTCCTGTAGGCATTCAACCAGGGGCTTACACAGCAGTCCTAGGCCTGCTTTTTGAAAGTTTTGAGGGTTTTCAGCCTCTTTATCGTCACTAGAAGTTCGGTTTCCCACTTTCCCCGTGGGTTCCTTTGTCAGCATGATAAATGGACATTGTTTCTCTTCCTTGTTTCAGATTTTGAGATCCAGAGTGAAAATGAGGAGAACGCTAATGAAGACATGTTTGGGGATGTCGAGTCACACAAGTTGCTGCGAGGGAGAGGCGGGCAGCAGTCTGACGGGGAGAGCGACACTGAGAGAGACTGCGGCTCTGGGGGACCCCGGGGGAACGGCCCAGGTGAGGAACGTGGGGCGCTGACATCCCAGGGCGGGGGAGTTGGCCAGCTCATCGGCCTTCAGGGCACCTACCTGGGTGAGAAGCCTTACGAGTGTCTCCAGTGTGGGAAAACCTTCAGCCGCAAGTCCCACCTCGTCACGCATGAGCGGACGCACACCGGGGAGAAGCACTACAGGTGTGGGGAGTGTGGCAAGAGCTTCAGTGACGGCTCCAACTTCAGTCGGCACCAGACGACGCACACGGGCGAGAAGCCCTACAAGTGCAGGGACTGCGGCAAGAGCTTCAGCCGCAGCGCCAACCTCGTCACCCACCGGCGGATCCACACGGGCGAGAGGCCGTTCCAGTGCGCCGAGTGCGGGAAGAGCTTCAGCCGCAGCCCCAACCTCATCGCTCACCAGCGCACGCACACGGGCGAGAAGCCCTACGCGTGCCCCGAGTGCGGGAAGAGCTTCGGCAACCGCTCGAGCCTCAACACGCACCAGGGCATCCACACCGGGGAGAAGCCGTACGAGTGCAAGGAGTGCGGCGAGAGCTTCAGCTACAACTCCAACCTCATCAGACACCAGCGGGTCCACACCGGCGAGAGGCCGTACCAGTGCGGCGACTGCGGGCAGAGCTTCAGCCAGAGCTCGGCCCTCATCACGCACCGCCGGACGCACACGGGCGAGAAGCCGTACCAGTGCGGCGAGTGTGGGAAGAGCTTCAGCCGCAGCTCCAACCTGGCCACGCACCGCAGGACCCACATGGCGGAGAAGCCCTACAAGTGCGGGCTGTGCGGGAAGAGCTTCAGCCAGAGCTCCAGCCTCATCGCGCACCAGGGCACGCACACGGGCGAGAAGCCCTACGAGTGCCTGACGTGCGGCGAGAGCTTCAGCTGGAGCTCCAACCTCCTGAAGCACCGGCGCACGCACACGGGCGAGAGGCCGCACCGGTGCCCCGACTGCGGGAAGAGCTTCGGCCAGCGCTCGCAGCTGGTGGTGCACCAGCGGACGCACACGGGCGAGAGGCCCTACAAGTGCCCCATGTGCGGCAAGGGCTTCAGCCGGGCCTCCATCCTCCTTATGCACCAGAGAGCGCACCTGGGCGACAAGCCCTACAGGTGCCCCGAGTGTGGGAAAGGCTTCAGCTGGAACTCGGTTCTCATCATCCACCAGCGGACGCACACAGGCGAGAAGCCCTACAAGTGTCCCGAGTGTGGGAAAGGCTTCAGCAACAGCTCCAACTTCATCACTCACCAGAGAACCCACCTGAAAGAGAAGCCTTATTGACGTGCAACGAGGGCAAGGGAGGGAACTGAGCCCGGATAGGAGATGCCACACGTCCCTTGAAAGAGTCCCCCCAAATGCTCTTTCGTAGTTTTTCTGAGAACCATACCCTGGCATCTGCATTTCAAGGATGTGCTGTCGTCTTGGTGGGAGTCAAGCCCCACGCGGTTCAAGAAGCTCTGGAATAACATTAGGTCTTTTTCCTGTTGCATCTCATGATTCTGTTTGCATCTCTCTCTCTCCTGATTTTGCTGTGCCTCAGTTTCCCCTTTGGTAAAACATGGATATGTGTCTCTATGTGGAGTGGAAGGCATTGTGGCCTGTGACCTGGGTGGGGCTGGGGGGGACTGAATCCTCAGAAAAATACTAGACATCTGTTTGTTAGGCTAAGGTGCCTTTATGCCAAGCTGCTAGCATTCCAGGGCCACCTACCCATGACAGACCTCACTTTTTCTGGCTTTAGTATCTTGGGCTTTGATTTCAGATCAAGGTGATGGGCCTTCTCCAGGTCTGAGTCACCAAGTGAAAGCAAAGCAGCTGTCTGTTGCAGAAGTGTCAGGACCACAGGGCACGAGGAAGTGTGCCCAGTGCCTCTTCCATGATAAGACTGACGGGGCCACTGGGACAGGTGTAAGCTGGGAGATTCGCGTGTTTGCTGCAGTCTGCTTACTGTCCTGTGCTGTGTGGGCCGCCTGGGGAGCACACTTGTTCTCACGTGGATTTGTGTTGGTGTGTGAGTCTGGGACCCCCGCTGCCTACCTGTGGTGGGGTGGTTCTGTCTCAGCGAGGGTGAGCAGGCCTTCATGCTGTGTGATCGTTTCTGAGTCACTCTGTGCACTTGTTTTTCTCTCTGCTCTTATATGTTCTATTTTATGTATGCAGGTCTAGAATTCTGTCCAGTAGCGTTTGTATGTTAAGAGCATTATTTAAGAAAGTGTCAATTTTGAGAACATCAAAATTCTTGGAGAGAGTTGGGCTTGAACTAGATTCATGTTTGATTTTAGCTGTCCAGGGCTTTCTTCTTGGGGTCCTGAGTCTCGACACAGTGGCTACAGGGAATGACAGCAGGTGAAAGGGCTTGTTATGAGGGAGAAGGGGAGAACGGAAACAGGATGTTTCTGGAAAATGTGAAGCTGCCGCCTCCCACACGTGGGGACCTTTTTTCTTAGATGGATGCTGAATATAGTCCAATAAAGCACTGTCCCATTCTCTTCCTGAGTTGGTCTTTTTTTCCTTCTTTTTTTCTTATTTTTTTTGTTTTGTTTGGTTTTTGAGTCTTGCTATATATCCCAGCTGGCCTCAAACTCGTAATCCTCCTGCCTCAGCCTCCTAAGTGCTGAGATTATAGGTGTGTGCTGCCACACCTGGCTCCTGACATGTTCAAAACCTGGACTTGGGCTGGCGGAGTGGCTCAAGTCAGCCCAAGACACAGCATTTTATTACCGAAGAGACCGTCACCCCACTTCTGTCTGTGTTTTATGTCCATGCCTGTCCTGAGCTAAGCTCTACCTTTAGCTGAGTGTAGGTGACAGGAACACAGTAATATCTGCCAGCTGGTTCTTACAGATACACATAAACGCAAGAGGAGATGGAGCCTGGAAAATAGGCTTGGTCCTGTATTCCTTTGGTAAGAATTTTAACTTCCTTGCTCTCTCAAGTATGCACACATACAACTTTCACACATGAAGACATGTATGAAAACCAGCCTGTAATCCCAGCACTCAGGAGGCTGAGGCAGGAGGATTGAGAGTTCAAGGCCAGTCTGAGCTAATTAATGAGACCCTGACTCAAAAAGCCAAACAAAACAACAACCTCTCCCCCCAAAAAAACACCCAACCGACTGGTGTGCTAATGAAATAACTTAGTTTGAAATGTAGCATTTAATCAAAACCCAGCAGGAACTCATGCCTCTTCCTTATTCTGGCCGAGTCTGTAGTTCTGTCTGGTCCTCCGCCCCCCATCTGCACAAGCAGTGAAGGCTCTGAGATTTTATTTAAATTAATTAATGTAGTTCTTGGCGGCACTGGGGTGTAAACTCAGGGCCACCCTACCATTTGACCCATACTCCAGCCCTTTTGCTTTAGTTACTTTTTCAGATAGGGGCCTGTGCTGTTTTCCCAGTTCAGCCTCAGACCTGAAGATCCTCCTGCTATGCCTCACGTAGCTGGGATTACAGGGATGCACCATCACGCCAGCAAGATACTATATTTACCCTTTAATTGGTATATCAGTGTAACTATCCTGAGACAGTTCCCTCATTTTCAACATTTTACTGTAACATGGCAGAGAAATGCACAAAAGTGTACAGCTGACTGAATTTTCACACACTGCCTACACTGTGTAACCAGCGCCCAGATCAAGCAGCAACTGAGGAGTACAGCTTTGCGCTTCCCCTCCCAGTGCGTGCCTGGTCTCTCTCCTGCCTGTCCTCAAGTTTGAGGTGTAGCAGGTTCAGTGCGGGAGCGGGATGGACCTGGTTCTGTGCAAGTTTGTGTCACTACACACTTCGCTCTTCCTAGAGGTTTCACAGTCTGAGGCAACTCACAAGGAGATGAGCTTTCCCCGCGGAATTTCCTTCGGGGTTGCATTTACCCTTTGCAACAAACCGTAACAGCTTACGGTAGAAACAGCAGTTCACGCATCGCACACTTGACCCTGACACCAGCCCTGTGCGCTAGGGAGGCTGCACTCTGCAGCAGAGGTTTGGTGACTTGCCCTGCTCGAGCCGCTCAGTCACTGCTCCTGAAGTCTCTTACCTCCACTGTGTTTCTTGAAGCCATTTGAAATATCTAATAGGGTCAAATAAAAACCTGGTAGCCACAGCATTTAGTCTTCTCCCTAGTTGGCCGCAGGACCGTCCACATGAGCACATGGTCCCTCCCTGCAGAGGGACCCTAGCTTGTCACCAGGGAGTTCCCCCGTGGCCCAGCAGCTCTGTTCCACTCAGTGTGTCACAGATGACCCTGGAGACTTCCACATGAAGAGTTCTGTTAAGCTTTCTCAGATCTTTGGGCAAAATACTAGTCTTTCCTTTATTCACCCTCTTGACAGAATTGGCCGGAAGCCACAGAGGAAGTGGAGACTTTGAGAAAACGGTTGCTTGTGACTTCCTGCCTGTGTGGGTGCAGTTGGAGCTCATGCCTCTGGCATCTGAGCAGAGGTTGTGGTCCCACGACCCCTGTCCTTGGACCACTGCTGCTGTCCACTCCACGTGTCCGACTCAGAATGTTCTGTCCGGGTCACAGGCCTGCCACGCCGTGAAGGGTCTCACTCCAGGCTGTGTGCGCCATGTTAAAGGTGCTCCGTGTCTGGGGGACGAGAGCCCAAACCCTCTTCTCACTTAGGCCTTTGCCCCGCCCTGTGGGTCCCGAGGCAGCTCTGGGGAACTTCTGGGCTGGTCTGGAGAGTGGTTCTGGAAGCTAGTAGGGTGCAGTCAAGGGCTGGCCTGAGTTTGATGTTAACCTTTCTTTTTTGGTTGCAGTTGGGGTCTAACCTCCAGGCCTTGCACCTGCTAGGCAGGCACCCTACCACTTGAGCCACTCACTCTCTCAGCCTTTATTTGCTTTGGTTATTATTTTTGGTTATTATTATTTTTTTGTGTCTTTTCTTTCTTGGTGCTGGAATCGAACCTAGGGCCTCACACATGCTAGGCAAGTGCTCTGCCACCGAGCTACATCCCAGCCCTGCTTTTGTTATTTTCGAGACAGGGGCTCACATTTATGCCCTGGCTGACTTGGACACCATCCTACTTATGCTTTCCATGTAGCTGGGATGGCAGGCGCGGGCCACCTTGCCGAGCTTTTATTGGTTCAGATCGGGGTCTTGCTAATTTTTTGCCCAGGCTGATCTCGAACCTTGACCCTCTGGATCTCTGCCTCCGGAGTAGCTGGGATTACAGTTGTTCACGACAGCAGCACATCATTACAGAATGCCTGTTCCTAAGGGCAGAGAGGAAGCCATGGCCCAGCCTCACAACCGGCTCTCTGGAGGAGCCTGGCCTTCTGTCCTCCCCACCTCTCCACACACCGCGCTTCCTACGACAAGAGCAACTGAGGGACGGGGCGGCCCAGCGACAGAGCACGTGCTCAGCACGCATGAGGCCCTGGGTTTGGGCCCCAACACCAAAGAAAGCCCTAGATTAAGAAAGATAAAAAGCTGAGGCCGGATCTCCCTATGCAGCCCAACTCCTGACTTTCCTGCCTCTGCCTCCAGAGTGCTGGGATTATAACCGCGCTCCACCATGCCCGGCCCTAAGATGAGTGCTAAAGAAAATGGCTTCTTCCCCTCTCCCGGAGCCCCCAGCCCCTCTGCAGCATCTCCCGTTACTCTGAGCTCGCCCGTGTGCAGCACCCCGCCCTGGGGCCACATGGCTGCTGCAGCAGCGCAGCCTCCCCGCAGAGGAGAGGCCGTTTCGCTTTTCTGACCGTGCAGGACCCAAAGCGGATGCCCCGCAACTGGCTGTTGACTGAATAAGCGTCAAACAGTGTGTGTGCAGAAGAGGCGAACTGGAACCCCTTCGCCTGTGCAGTAGGGACAAGCAGCTGCCTCAGCCCTAGGCGAAGACGCCGGGTAAAGCGCCGTGTCGCTCGGCGCCATCAGCGCGGCGCAGGGCGGGACGCAGGACCTCCTCCGCCCCTTCAGCGGCGCCGGCACGGAAGTCCCGCCCCTCCACAACGATGCGCCTGAAACTGGCGGCTGAGACATTCTCAAATCTTATTGGCCAACGGTGCTGTCCACCTGACCTTAGAGGCCTCTGGGAAATGTAGTTTACTGAGTCCTCCTGCGGCTTGGGTTTCCGGTTCCGGGGTTCAGTGGGCTTCCGAATTGCGGAGTTTCGGGTCTGGCTTCTGGGTTCGAGTGGCCTGTGGGGACGTTGTGTCTCCGTTGTGTGGAGAAAGTGCCACGGGGCCGAGTCGCCCGTGGGCACAGGAGGGGCCGTCACGTCGGGCCTGAGCCGCCCCGCCGGATGGCGCGGCTTGGCGGGGAGACTGGGTCCCCCAAAAGCTTGCAGGGAAGGCGGCGCGGGGCCTGTCACCCAGTGCACGGTGAAAGGGCTTGTCCAGTGCATGTCCCCGCCACACGCCACCCGTGTGCCTTTGCAGGTCCCGGGCCCTGATGGCTCCAGCGTTGGGGCAGTGGAAGCCATAATTTCCCTTTGCTTTCCTCTCCCGGGACACCCGTGAGCCCGCATGGTCAGGCCCTAGACGACCTCCCTAGAGCTCGCCGGCGTGCGGAGAGGCCCGCAAACGGCCAGAGCCAGGGCGGTCCGTGGTCGGCGCCCCTGAGGCTCGGTTTAGGGGCGCCTCCATGGGTGCTGCTCTCCAGGGTGCTGGGACGCCTCGTGGGACGCTCTAGACTTGTCCTGGACCTTCACTTCGCGACGCCCTGTAGTTGAGACCAGTGGCAAGTGACCACGCACCTCCATGAGCCCAGCCTTTCTCCCGCAGAGAACTGGCGTCTCAGCCTTAGAAGTAAGGCGCAGGCTCCCTGCTCCTAACCAGACCACCAACCCCGACCCCTCCTACCAGCCTTCCCCAGCTGCTTCCCGGGGGACAGAGCCACTCCCCACAGGCACCAGGGCAGACTTGACTCTTCTGACAGCGGACTGCCCTGGCTGCTCTGAGTGTTGGTCCCTGCCATAAAGAGTTGCTCTGTGACCAAGGAGGAGCGCGTATGCCAGCTCTCTTTTTGAGTAAGGGCCCGGGTTCCAAAAACCAATCTGCAAGGAATTATGGGAAATGTCCTGTGTATTCTTACTGCGTCTACTGAACACACTAGATGATGAACAAGCCCATCTAATGTATTTCCTCACCCACCTTTCTGTCTTTCTTATTATAGGTTCCGGGCTTTGTCTCTGAGGTCTTCCCCACTCTCTGCTTTGCCTCTGCAGACATTTGCATAATACTGACCGCTTTGCTTCTTTGTGCCTTGGAAATGTTTAAGTTCTAGTTCCTGCAGAAGTGCTTAGTTCCATAAACATCCATCCAAAGCAAGCACAGACAGAGTCCATGTGTGTGTGAGGTAGTGGTAAAGAGCTGGCAGCCAGAACCAGAGGAACAGTTGCGCCATGGCCCCAGAGCAGAGCTCCAGTCCTTCCAGGGAGCGTGAGCAGCAGCAGGTAGGAGGAGGAAGGACGTTCTGTGGGTGGGCAGGGAAGGCAGAAGTGCAGAATGGGGGGTAGAGAATGCAGCTGCTGTCACTGGAAAATACAGCGTGTGAACTGAAGCTGGCCTGTGAGTGGAAGGGCCTAGCTAAGCACCTCAAAGGGAAGGAGGACTGCAGGTGGCATGTTTTGTAAAACAACAGAGGAGAGCCTGCAGCACCTCTGCTGCTGTGAGTGGGAGACTACTGGTGCCATAGGTGATGAGTGGGGACAAATTGCGTCCTGGGTGGTGGAAAAGGCACAAGGCAGGCTTAAATTCAAGTACAGTAATCCTTAAAATAGGTAAATGTCTTCAAACTCATTCAGACACTTCAAGTACATCACCCAAACTGAAAAACAGAATCATAAAACACTGGATGGAGATGGCAGGGAAAAACCTAAAGCTTTCATCATAGAAACGTTTCTTTTCTTTTTTTTGTCAGGCCTGCTTTGCCAGGACAAAGCAGATATGAGTCAGAGAAGGAAGACTCTTCCTTTTCTGAACTGAGGAGCTGGTCCTCTAAGAGGATTTGGGAACACACACTCATTCTTGCTCCTTTCTCTCCCCAGCCCTGCACCATCCTTGGCAGAGCAGCCCAGTGGTGACGAGGCACCACAACAGCTCCCACATAAGCCAGACTTTTCTTTCTT